AAGAAGCACAGCTAGAAAGTAGCAGAGTAAAGATGCTAACTTTGGAGCCATGTGGCTCCAAAGTTACTGCCTTTTCTTCAGAAGCATGGTGCCCCCAAAATAATAGTAAGTCAACAAGAGCCCCTCAAAATTGATAATGTTGCATAAATCAGGTGTAGCTACAAACTGAGTGCCAAAAATGATTGGTTAAAAAGAGAACTGTAAATGAGCTCCCTAAAAAGATAAGCAACAGCAACATCAAAAGAAGGATATCCAAAACTATTTAGAGCCCAGCACCCTTGACTTAAGTGCCTGGACCTCCAAGGTAACTAACTTAAAAAGGAAAACATGTAAAGACACCTAGGTGACTCGGTTGAGCGTCTGACTCTTGATTTCAACTCAGGTCATGATCTAACGGTTTGTGAATTCAAGCCCCATGTCGGGCTCTGTGCTGACAATGCAGAGCCTCCCTGGAATTCTCTCTGCCCCTTCTCTGCTCATGTTCTCTTTCTCTCTCTCTAAACAAATAAATAAACTTAAAAAATAATTTGAAAAGGAAAACATGTATCTGGACACATATTTTGACATGTTTGCTTAAAAAAAATATTGTTTACAGTGTGAAACCAACAAAGGCAAATAGATTCTTTCTTGATCATAAAGAGGCAAGAAGAACTCTGCAGTGTTTTCTTACTGTAGTACAAGAAAGAGCAGTTAATTGTATTTTTAAAACAAGCCAGATTTTATTTGTATGATACATTTTACTAGGTCTTCTTTTTGACCTCTTTTGATCTAGTGATACAAATGCAAATTAGGTCTCATTTTTAATTCAGTACCATGTATGTATGGGGAAACCACATGGTGCAATGAGCCCGGGAGACTAGAAGGTGGTCAACAAGTCCAGACAAGTTCCCTGCCTTCATGGGGCCCACAGCCAAGCAGGAGAAGCCACTAATCAGGGAGATAACATGTTCTTTCCCCCAACTTATTTTGGAGAAAGAATCTTCTGTTTCGCCTGGCTTCTAAGTCTTTACGATGGTATACATAGCAGATATACTTTTTCAGTAGGAAAAAATATATGTAGATACAGAAATTATCTATCTATCTATCTATCTATCTATCATCATCTATCTACCTATCTATCTATCTTCTGGTGTTTATAGCATTACCAAGTATCGAGACACTACCATATGACCAATATGTGAATAGAGTACACACTTACTTGTTTTTGTTGACAAGCATTCATCCCTCCCTTGTTCCAGTGATAGCATCCCATCACTACTTTTAAGGAATGTCCCTATACCACCGCCATAATCCTGACTGTTCATAGGTTTTAAGCAAGGTTTCCTTCTAGTTCCAAGGGTGAGACATTTGGTTTAGGGAAGCCAATCAAAGCACAAAGCACAGCATTACCTAGGACAGAGCGATTACTTCAGGGATGGGCATGTGACCCAGCTGGAGCCAGTGGGATGCAATGAGAGTTTTTCTGTGTCTTATGCCTATTGGATTTAAGTCTGGGAAGTTGGGAGGCTGCAGCTGCTATTGAACCTTACTACAAATAAGGGTAGAATATCTAAAAAAGCTATCACCATGGAAGTCAGAGCCAAAGAATGCAGCATAACTAGGTAACAGTTATGGTAATGTCAGCTGTATTCCAGAATCATTCCGTGCCTAAAGCTAGCCCCTGACAATAAATCTTGAACTAATGAATTTCCTTTTCCTTTTCCTTTTCCTTCCATCCATCCTTCCTTCCTCCCTTCTTACTTTCTTTCTTCTTTCCTTCCTTCCTTCCTTCTCTCCTTTCCTCCCTCTCTCCCTCCTTTCTTTCCTTCCTCTTTCCTTTCTTCCTTCCTTCCTTCCTTCCTTCCTTCCTTCCTTCCTTCTTTCCTCCCTTCCTCCCTGCCTCCCTCCATCTCTCTCTCCCTTCCTCCTTTCCTCCCTTCCTTCCTTCCTTCTTTCTTCCTTCTTCCTTCCTTCCTTCCTTCCTTCTTCCTTCCTTCCTTCCTTCCTTCCTTCCTTCCTTCCTTCCTTCCTTCCTTCCTTCTTTCTTTTCTCCAGCCAGTTTGAGTCACTCTTTTGTCTCTTGTAACCAAAAGAGACTTGCTAGAGTAACTAAAATATTCTTTTTGGCTCTATCTTCTGCTTGCTTGTTTCCAACAAATACATTTTCTAATGAAAATGATGAACCTAGAAAATATCTTGATTTAATAATTAGGACCGTTTCTGGATATAATTGGTACCACCGCCTAATTTTTATTTAAATCTTTATTTCAGGCTTTAATTGCATGAGCAGGTGTTTCTTTTTATGACTAAATAAAGTTCACAGATTTTTGGTGTCAGACTTTGAGTTTGAATCCTGAATTCATGATCTTAGGTGACTTTTTCTACCCACGGTGTACTGCCTTTCTTCAGTTTTCAAATCAGGATAGTGAAAGAGTATATTTGATACGATGTGGGAAGGATGAAATGATACCATATATTCAGACATGTTTGCCCAGTCAGTCACTGGCAGATAGTAAGCCCTCAATCATCACTATGTCATTAATTGAAAGACTGGCATTTAGGATTTCACTAGCTGTTCAGTTTTCTTCTGGCTGCTTTTCAGCCACTAAAATCATAGATAAAATAAGGTTGATGTCCCATTAAGGTAATTTCATTTCAACAGAAACTTTATTTGTATAGCACAAACACCATCTCTTTGTTGAGTTAGCAAAGCACTATATTGGATATCAGATACTCTGGGGCTAAGGCTAATGTTAAATTCCACTGTCCGTAAGACTTTCATTGATATAATTGCTGTTTTATGAGTTTTTATTTTTAACGTTCATTATTTACTTTCTCTTTTTACTCTTAATTTCAATTATTTGTATTGATGGAATGATTTCTGGCATATGAAATTAAAAGCATGAACAGAAACTTAATCTGTTAGCAAAATTAATTTTTGAAATCAGCAAAGTCTTAACGTTTCGTTCTAAGAGCCTGCGGAAGATCAAAACTCCCATTAGTGAAAAATTTGGGCGGCTTCAAACACACGGCTCTGTGTACGTACACGGAGTACACGGAGAGAGGTTTCTCTCTTCACAGTTCCCCCGCCCTCTAGTGGTAGTTATAATAACGCCATTTTGTAGTCCCCAAACAGGAAATGCCTGTTCTTACTTCAGTTACCAGAATCCTTTTACAGGAAGTTAGGTGTGGTCTTTGAAGGAGAATTTAAAAAAAAAAAAAAGAAAGAAAGAAAGAAAGAAAGAAAATGAAAAAAAGAAAAAAAGAATGATGGAATTTTAGCTGCAGTCTTCTTGGTGCCAGCTTATCAATCCCAAACTCTGAGTGTAAAAGATTCTGCAGGGGTAATGTTTTAATATTCTTATTATGCTTATTCTCTGTGATGCTTCTCTACCTTTACAGTACAATCCTTGGGGGAATCTGCAGAGGACCACTTTCATTTTGAAGCTGCTGGCTGCATGTTTTAGCATGTCTCTTCTATTAGAGCATACAGGCATGGCAGTTTCCTCCATGGAGTATGCATGGACCTTCTTCATGCTTATGTCTGTTGAGGCATGAGGGTCTCTGGGGATGGGTGAGGTAAAATAGAGATGTTTTGGAGATAGTGTGATACTGAGAGAGCAGTCTGCTAGCTGGTGGCTGAAAGGTCCTACTCTACTTCAAAAAAAAAATGTAGAAACGGTACAGTAGCTTATGTTATTTTAAATTTCCCTGTTTGATTTGGCATATGCTACAGAAATGCTCTGGATATTAATACATTAACTCTTAGAAAATGCACTTCATATAATTAAATGGCAATTCTCATTGCTGTAGGATGGGGGTTAAAATGGATGGATATTTTAAAAAGAAGGAAAAATAGGTAAGTGAGCATATACAGATGGCATTCAGGAGTTAAGATTTTGGTTGTATGATTTCAAAAATCATAGAAACTCTTGCCACTGGTTCAGAGATAACATTCGGAATGATTGGTGTGCTCTGTTAAGTTATATATGTTAGTCTAGTAAAATAAAATTAGAATACAGTAAACCTCCATTTATGTTATTGCAAAGACCAATAAAATAGGAGTTTGTTTAAAAGATAAACTATCTTACACTTGTTATTTTTTCCAGTCCAAATCTGCTATTGAGATTTTTATGAAATGGGCACTATATGAGAAAATGAACTATTTCTACAGCATTTCTTAAGGTGTTGCAAATTTGTTAATTTAAGAAGCAATTATACTAGTTAGCAGCAGGTTGCTGAGCCTGGGGGGTCCAAGATCCAGACCTCTGACGTGGATGACTTCCTGCCCGGTTTGGCAGGAGCTGGATCCCTTCCTGTGCAGCTTCCAAGCAGTTCCAAATGCAATCGGGCATCCCCCGCTCCTTCCTGTTCCTTTGCTTTCAAGCAGTATCTACCTATGTTTCCATAGCCTGGCATTTCAGGATTTCCAGAGCTCTTTACCAGGTGCGTTGATTTTGAATAAGCTATTAAAGGTGGAAAAGTAGGCCAAAGGGAACATGGAAAAAAATGGAGAGATACATGCAAGATCCTTGCATAGCCCAGTTTCTATAATTTTGGGTAATTATTCATCTGTTGTTTTGGATCTCTGATATTTTTTTTCAGAAAGGATGCTGAAAAAGATGGCTGCCAAAATATTCACACAAGTGAAACAGCAAGCACAAACCAGTATCCTCCATTTCTGAGCTCGAAATTGGATATTTTCACTTAAAACATTTTGGGAGTGGGAGACTAGATTACCTCATAGACATCTACTGGATGTGGAAGACAGATCTCCATGCAAGCAAATGAATGCGTGCATGAGAATCCCCTGAATGCCAAATACAGCTTCCTTAGTAAATATTACAGACAGATTGGTTTATATATTTTATCTCTGTATCATGTAATTGTCACAGTTACCTTTTATCCTAATGACTGTTGCTTCTCTCTCTCTCTTTCTCTCTCTCTCTTTCTCTCTCTCGTTTCCATAGCACTTTCTTATGCAAGGAGCTAAACAGTGATTAAAGGAGCAGGATGAAAAGATGGCACAGTCAGTGCTGGTACCACCAGGACCTGACAGCTTCCGCTTCTTTACCAGGGAATCCCTTGCTGCTATTGAACAACGCATTGCAGAAGAGAAAGCTAAGAGACCCAAACAAGAGCGTAAGGATGAGGATGATGAAAATGGCCCAAAGCCAAACAGTGACTTGGAAGCAGGGAAATCTCTGCCATTTATTTATGGAGACATCCCTCCAGAGATGGTGTCAGAGCCCTTGGAGGACCTGGACCCGTACTATATCAATAAGAAAGTGAGTTTTTAGACACGTTGTCTTTACTTCCCCCACTTCCTAACTGGCTCTGGGCTAGTCACACAGATGTCTGGTAAAGAATGATGTGCCTCTTCCCCTCTGTCTGAAGTATCACTAGGATGCTGAGTGGGCTTGAGCATGTAATGGACCCATTATCCTACAAGTCTTTTGGAAGCACTCATCTGAACCTACATTCCCGGGACAAAACAGAACTAAAGAAGCATCATGTAGTTGATAACTGAGGAAGGGCAAAAAGTCTATTCAGCTTACGGTACAATGAAGCAAAAAGTGAAAACAAGGGTTATATTATATTATATTATATTATATTATATTATATTATATTAATTTCCAGGAGCAGTATCTAAATTCATTTTTATAATCTCAACCTCTAAGTAAGTTATTTTGGTCATCAGCAGGATTATGCCTTCATACCATAGACTTTGCCCTTCCCATGGCTCTCTGCAGAAGAAATAATAGTAGGTGACTTAAGTACCCCCAAAAGAATCTCATCCAAAAACACACCTGGAAAACTCTGAAGTTTTCATGAAAATTGTTATCAAAATTAAGAAGTAATCAAAGCCCCATTTTCATGCTTTTTGCGAATTATAAATATGGTTTTAAAATACTGCTATCAAAACTTGATAAGGATGCTAAGAATTCCTATCGCATCGACTACATTTTTTTTTCTCTTTTAAATGCTCGGTCACTTACCAAATTTAGGAAAGTTAATAGTGCTCAGAAAAAGCACCTATCATCGTGTTGCATGTTGATAGTGTATTACTATAGTATTTTATAATGCAAAATTTTAAATAATGGTCTCACCTTTTTCTTTAAACGTTCTTAATTTTAATATTAAGATCCTAAATTCTGCCTTATATGTTGTGTTTTCTTTTTCAGACATTTATAGTATTGAATAAAGGGAAAGCAATCTCTCGATTCAGTGCCACTCCTGCCCTGTACATTTTAACTCCCTTCAACCCCATTAGAAAACTAGCTATTAAGATTTTGGTACATTCATATCCTTTTTCAAACAGTTGCTTAATATGATTTTGTTCTTTGACTGAATTATTGAGCTGGGAATCTTTTTTTTAAATATGTGTGGTTGGCAACATGATGTGCTCTTTTTTTCTTTCCTCTTACTCAACAGTTAGCATATTGCAAATGGGATTATAGGTAAGTGAACCTGTTTTCCTCATCTTCTTGAAGTTTGCCTCTCCCCAACTTACTACATCTTTCTTCTCTACTCCTCTGTGTCCTTCTAAATTACTTGTTACATCCAAGACTTCTTCATTAATGTTGATCATGTTACAAGGCTCTCATTTTATAAGTCTTCATATTTTACAATGGTAGGCAATGGGTAACCTCCATGAGCTAATTTTCCTTACTGCTTTCACATTTGGAAACTATATACATAATCTGAATGGAACAATTTTATATCTTTTTGGTCTGAGTTGTACTACTTTCTGCTTTTTATTTCAGCACTTGAAAACTTTGAGTTAGTAAATGTTTATAATTGTAACTGTATACACACTGGCCTTTCAAATATATCTCCAAAAATTTTCCCCAACAGCATCCCACTGATCTTTTTTCTTTCTTTCTTTCCTTTCCTTTCCTTTTTTTCCTTCCCTTTCTTTCTTTCTTTCTTTCTTTCTTTCTTTCTTTCTTTCTCCCTTTCTTTTTTTCTTTTTCTCACTTGCTGCCATGTTTTATTCAAGTCACATGTCCTGCTACAATTTTGTCTCTCCAAAGGCTTATTGTCTGTCAACCCATATACATCCTCATTTTATTCTTCATTCTCCTTATTGAAGTCACTACTTCCTAGAAATGAGATTGATGACACCTTGGTGGGAGATGGTAATATGAAGTTAAATAGAGTAGTTGTGAATGGGAGGTTTTATTTTAGGTGAGGGATAGTGGTCTGACTGATAGCCAGCCCTGAGAAAACCAAGGAAGCAAAGATTTGGAAGACTGGGGCTATGCCAGGCAGGGACTTTTACAGGAAGAACACTTAAACCTTGGGATGAGGATTGATACACATCAGGAACCAGAGGTAAGATTCCTGAAAGGGAAACTGAAATCTAAACAGAGTCTCAGAGCAACTTTTAATGTTATTTCTTCTTTAGAAAGAGTCCATGACATGATAAGGCTTTCGATGTGAAAGCTCGCTACCCCCAGTAGGCTGAGAAAATGTTTGAAATAGATAAGGTAAGGAATTCTGAAGATAGGATAAACTTGGTACAGGAAACTCGTTTCAGTTCTGGGTGGGAGGGCTGTAAATCATGTCCTGGGACTTGACTGGCAGTGTGGTAAATGATGTTTTCAAAAGCACAGCATTTTAGAATTTAGTCTCCTTTTAACATCTAGTTCATTCCCCTTCTTCCCCTATGTCCTTTGCATAGACATCAACATATTTTAATCTGAAAAGCTTTAAGACTTAATACTTTTTTTGTGAATTATCTAAAGCAATATTTCCTTACTTCTGTTTTTCAAGAAAGAGAACCCAATGGTATGGGGGAATAAAGATCTATGAGTTAGCATTAGAAATGAATAAAAAGGGGTGCCTGGGTGACTCAATCATTTAAGTGTCCAACTTCAGCTCAGGTCATGATTTCATGATTTATGAGTTTGAGCCCCACGTTGGGCTCTACATTGGCAGTACGGAGTCTGCTTCAGATTCTCTGTCACCCTCTCTCTCTGCCCGTCCCCTGCTCATGCATTCTCTCTCTCAAAACTAAATAAATAAACATTAAAAAAAGAAAGAAATTAATAATAAAGTTACTATTAGATTTGGGTCTCCTGAATTATAAGCCATGGTCTATTATTATGTTTTGGGTATTTGTAATCTTTGCACTAAATAAACCTTTCCATAAATTATTTATTATATTTTTAAATAACTATATGCCCTTTATATAAACATTTTTATATGAAATTATGTGAAAACTCAAACTTATGTCTAATGCTGTGTAAAAACTAGATACTGGGAGAATAAGTGTTGAATAAATAAGTGACTCATGAAGCAGAGGTTGGAGAATTATATGCAAAACAAGTAACAAAATGGAGGGTTTGAATAGATGAGAAAAAATTGATTTTGTCCTGAACCTGAGTGAGGAGACAGAATTAAGAAAGCCCAATATTAAAGAAAAAAATCAGTTTTTGTTTTAACCATTTTGTGTGGAGATCATGTATTTCTTTGAAAATGTCATGAAAGCCATCATCTGACTCCAAAAACTTCTATGAAGTTAGGGAACCCATGAGTCCTAATTTAAGACCCTTTGAGAAAAGAGACTCCTGGTGGTAGAGGACAAGGGCAGTTATAGAAGTTTCAATCAGGAAAAAGAAAAAAGAAAGAAAGAAATTTCAATCAGAGAATCTGGGCATTGAGGACATAGATTATAGTGGGGGCTCTCTGGCTCTCTGGGAATCAAGACACAACTTGAATTTGAGGGTTTGCACCGGCTTCCTTGAAGAAACAAAACCCCGGGGCAGAGTTGTTGAGAGGACTGCAGTGATGTGAATTGCAATGTGAAGGTAGCCAGGTAAATTTATGAGATTTGCTAAAGTGAACGATAAGAAGCTTATAAATGGCTGATAAGCCACAAATGTCTTCCAATGTAGAAAAAGGTAGACTCTTTAAAATCTCTAATTACCTGAATAAAAACACTATATTTCACATATCTCATCTTGGAGTACAGATAGAAGAAAAGAAAAGGCAAGTGTACTAATAGTCTAAGATAAGTTCTTCAGTCTTTTGATGACAGTGACATACTTGA